AGGATATTGCAACCATTTTTCAGATGCTGAAATGAAAGAACTGCTAACTAGAGTTCTATATCCAGAGAAAATATCCTTGAAGAATCATAATTCAGTTATTGTGAATTATTCTGCGAAGAACATAGGTATGGCATAAATGTTTTTGATGTTCAAAATGTTCTAACATATATTAATACACTGTGCCTTTTCAGTGCTGATTAGTATTCTGGTGAACAGATATGCCACACTTTGTTTATCTTCCCATCAAATGATGGACATTTGGGTTTTATGAAAAATCCTATTAGGCAAGGAGTTATAACAATTTTTAATGTGCTCTATACAAGGCAACAGGCATAGTCCTTCATATAGAAATAATCAATAATGAGAAATACATGGGGACTGAACAGGAACGGAGGCATATTTCCTAATTATCTTCAAGTCTCAAGTTCCCAACTCTCAAACATCTAAAAGAGTAGGATTGAACTGATACCTAGTTCCATAAATAAACAACCATTTATTTACTTGGTCATGTAGCAGTACTGTAATAGTAGTAATAATAATTATTGCTACATTAATAATGCACATTGATAACTTGTTTTGTGCCAAGTATCATGCTTAATAATAAATATTTAAATATTTAATATTTAAATAAATATTTCACTTAATCCTCACAATTCCAGGGGATATGAACTTTTACTATCTTTGTTTTCCAGGTAAGAAAGAAGGAATGAAATAGAGGAAAGAAGAGGATGAAACAGGAATTTACCAAATACACAGTTGGTAACAAGAGAAGCCCCTTAGCCACTTTGCAATAATGTTTCTGTCTAATGTTGGAGCCTGTGTACGTGTGGAGACCATAATGTGGAGGGTGGAAAATGCCAGACTAAAGAGCTTTGATTTACTCCTTTAACATGGAAATACCCTGAATGTGTTTGAGCAGGGAAACAACAGTAATCAGAACAGAACATAGCAACGTCAGATGTTTAGAAGCGGGGAGACTATCGTAGCAGAAAACAGTGAGTTGGCTCAAAAAATACTTAAATTAAGAGTTCATAAGGACTTGACTTAGAGTAATGAGAATAGGAATAGAAAGGAAGGAAATTATTCCCCAAAAAAATTTTTTTAGAGTTAGACCCAAAATAACATAACAATAGAATCATTATGGAAGGCAAGGATACAGGTAATTTATTTAATCCTTTGAATGAATAATGGAGTGTAAATAAAGAATTCAGTCCTGTATTTAAAAATACTGTTTTTTCAATAAGACTATCACAGACCTTGAGGAATTTTTCGTTCTTATGCATGAGTCAGAATCATTCTGAATGTTAATTTAGAGCATAAGTTTATGAATCCTCATGAAGCATGAGGATCACAGATGAAAACAAGAGTTGGCTCTTACTGAATATTTGCTACGTCCCTGATTAAATGGGTAACTCAAATTTTACAAGCTTGGCAAAATTATGGTGCTAGAATAAAAATAGACAGCATAAGAGAAAGATAATGTTAAATCAGGAAGTGATTAAGTCCATTCTAATTTTATTGTAGTTTAAGATCTTAGAAAAATGTTCAGGACAGGGCTGGGGATATAGCTCAGTTGGTAGAGTGCTTGCCTCACATGCACAAGGCCCTGGGTTTAATCCCCTTCACCATAAAAAAAAAGACAAAGAAAAATGTTCATGGGGGATGTCCAAAATGTGATTATTAATATGATACTGGACATTGGGCAAGGGTTCAGAATAAAAGAAATGAGAAGTGTTCAAGGACAGGAAGTGTAGGTACTTTGTGTCGTGGGATAGCTAAGAAGCAAAGAACTGTAAAGAAGTGAATATTCTCATTCATACAATGAAACAAACTAAAAATTATAGCTACCCGACTGTGATATATGGTTACAACTTATAATGGATAAGAGAGTTTAGGTTATGTTGAGATAACAGATGCCAAAATAGATGGAATTTCACATTTCCATCTGTGATTGGTCAGATGAAACTGATCTAAATGAACTCGAAATTAAAATTCAGAATGATTCTGATTCATGCGTAAAACAAGAATGAAAAAACATCTTGAGGTCTACAACAGTCTTATTGAAAAACAATACTAGGGCTAGGGTTGTGGCTCAGTAGTAGAGTGCTCGCCTAGCATACAGAAGTCACTGGGTTTGATCCTCAGCACCACATAATGTAAAATGAAGATATTGTGTCCACCTAAAACTAAGAAATAAACATTTTTTAAAAAAGAAAAAGTACTAAAATACAGCCATGCATTGCTTAACAATGGAATATGTTCTGAAATATGACATTCGGTGATTCCATCTTCATGTGAATATCTTAAGAGTGTAATTATGATGTCACTGGACAGTATAATCTTCTGGAACTCCCAGAATCTATACAGTCTGTCGCTGGCAGAACTATCATTACACAGCACATAATTCAGAGTTCTATATGTCCCAAGGATTCCTTAAGCAATACTAAATTAAAAAATTTATCATTTTTGTTATTTGCTTGACACTTATTTTAAATTCAAACCAAATTATTGAGTTATTATTTTTTGGTCAGAATTTGATAAATATTTGATAAAAGAATGAAAACAATGGATTTCTCCAAGAGTTTTATTGTTAGGGATAAAGTACCTCCTCCAGAGAGTATCTTCCAAAGTATGTGAAATATAATAAAAGAGCATTTCTAATTTTATCCTGGAAAGGAATAACTTAGTATTAGTGAAAAGCTAAAACCAAGCAATCCACAAAATAATTTTTATATATCTTGGCAGAACAATAGGGAAAATTTCTGCCTAATCAGGTAGGTAAATCCTGGGTTTATACTTTTCTTTCAAATAATAAGTAATTCTTGGAAGTATTTAGATACTGGAAAATTCCAACTTGCTACAGAGATGACATTAGAAAGTCTCATTCTGTCCAAGCAATTGGATTAAGTTGTTAAGTTTAACATGTTTGGAGGATCCTTCTTACTTGGAGGAAATAGACACTCTAGAATAAAAATGTAATGTGGGGAAAGAGTTATTTATATTAAGTTTATTTTTATAGTGAGAAAAACACCTTAAAATTATTTTAGACTGACTTGACATCTTTACCTTAAAAAGATGTTTTTTCCCCTCAATAGCAGTTTCATTCTAAGTCCTACCACTAAATGCTATTATCAAAAACTCTTCTTTCCTGTTGAAGAAATTTTTTTTAAATTCATTTATAAAATGGAAAATTCTGAATTCTGGTTTAAATTCCTAGCTTGTTCTATAATGAACAGCTTCTGTAATAATGATAATACCTGCAGAGGCCTTTTATTTGCCTTAGAATTTTGTGCTTCTTAAGTTTTTCCATCTAAGTATCCCTAATGAGAGAAGAGAATGAATATATAATCAGAGACTGGAGTTTTAATCAAAGCTTGAAATTTAAGTTTCAAAATCTTTTCTGAAAAACATCGTGCCAATTTTATCTAGGACTCTACTGTTTTAACATAATAATGATTTAAATTACTTTTTATCAAACAGATAGAGATCATAATTGTCACCATGACTTTTCAAAGTCTACCTCGTAGCATACCAGCAAAGAATACATCTATAACCCAAATTGGAACACATGTGAAGGTAGAGAAACAGGGGCAAAGGGAAGGTGAAACAGTTGCTGCGGGATCCAACTCAGACTCTCTGACAAAAATGAGATCCTACAGAGCTCAGATGCAGCCCCCCAGCTCTGACAGTCCACCAGCTCAAACTCTGTGGGGGCTTAGACATGTCTTGGTGCCTGCTGGGCCAAGTAGCAAGCTCACAGACATCTACATCACCCTGACCTTCAGCCTTCTCCTGTAGCCTGTCTGAATCTAATCTGTGATGATGATCCACAGTTCCTGATCCTGGCTTATGCCCCATTTCTTCTCTGGAATGATAAGACTTCTGCAAGTGCCCCATGGATTCGACTGAGTTCGTCCTGCTCCAACCAGTCAGACCCTCTGCTCACTATGGGTTATAACCGAGAGGCTGCAGACTTCCCCCGAATTCAGAGTGCGTGGTGATAGGCATGACGGCTCTTTTCCACAGAGCAGTCTGGCATGTGTTACCTTCCACTGAGGGCTTTCCTTACACTGATCTCATTTATTCCCTTCACAGTTCAGCCTGCTGCCTTTGTCCCAGCTAGCTTGTCCCCCTGCATACGCTGATACGGCTGTGTACAGCAGATGGTCCTTAGATTAGCTGGTCTTGTGAGTGATTATCAATTTAATTGCTGGTGTAGGGGAGGACACAGACCAGTTTAATGCAAGTAGTTGGATCTCAGGCTGAGAGTCCAGGATTTACCACCACAGAGCAACCAATGAAACAGATTTCTGAGGAAGAGAAGGACGAGACAAAAAATGGAATTCAAGATGATACACTTCAGCCGAATGGGAAAGACTGGCAGGAGAAATGCAGAATGGAAACGAATCTTTAATAATCCACTACAGCCTGGAATAAAGTGGTGGTTCTGTAAGGAAAGCAAGAAAAAATAAGACATATCTTGCAGGAAGAATCTCTACACATTGATGTAGAGTTAAAGATCACCCAGTCTTGGGGCTGGGGATATAGCTCACTGGTTGAGTGCTTGCTTTGCATGCACAAGGTCCTTGGTTCAAATCCCCAGCACAATTTATTAAAAAAAAAAAAAAAGATCACCCAGTCTTTCACTGTGTGTTGAAGCCACGTATTTGACAAGCCCCGCTCCAGGCCTTGAGGGGACAATAATGAATAAAGCACAGCCCTGGCTCTCCAAACCCCACCCTTCTAAAGGGCAAGGGGAAGGGAACCAATGATGTGATCAGCACCTTTCAACACCTTCTTTGAATCATACTTCTAAGCTTTCTCCCTTCGGTGCCTTTATCACAAAATACCAAGAACTCACCTCCCAGGGAAGGGGACCAGTTGATCTATTTAGGCTGAGACAATGCCAGTCTACAAGAACACACCTCAGAATCTTTTGCTTTCCTGATAAAAGAAACAGAGCTGGGTTTGCCCTATTTTCCCCCTTCCTGCCTGGAACAGAATAAGGAAGTAATAACTGGGAGGACCAAGAGGCAGCAAGCACGGAAATAAAAGGTTAACACACTGAGGATGTCCAAGCAGGAAGACAGACGCAGAGTCCTGGGTAGCTGTATGAGCAGCTAGACTGATCTGGCAACCCCCATCTCTGCTTGTTATATGGGAAAAAGTTTGCTCCGTTATTGGCACGAGTTGCTGAAAACAGAAGCTTTTCATGACAAGCAACCAAATCTGACCTTGGGGGATTACACAGAAAAGACGTTTACTTGAAAAACTATTTGAGCAGGTCACAGAATATTGAGAGGGCTAAAAAAATAAATAAAATAAAAATGAGGCTCAAATGGAAGATTCTAGAAACAGCACACAAAACCTTTCATAAAACTGGCATGATAAAAGAAATCACCAGCACGCTATAGCAGGGCTGTGAAGGCTACAACTTATACCCTTGCCACTTTCTCATTAGGAAGGTAATGGCACTGCAAGTGAAGCCCAGCCTGCCAGTCTTCTTTGATGCCACCCCAACCAGCAAATCAATCCCCCAACAGGCGTGCTTGCACTCTTCCAAACGCCTGTGCCCATAATGGAAATAAAGTATATAGCTTGTTCATCACCAACAGGAAGAAGTATTCTTTAAACTACAAAGATTCAGAAGGTAATTCCCCAAACTCAAAAAAAAGTGGGGGTGGATTCAGATGCTAAGTATCCAAAATAAAATACAAGTTATGTATTGTTGTGGTGGGTAATTTGCAAAAATGGTTACAATTCTCTCTATATATCTTTGATGGATAAAATAAGGAAGACAAAATATTATGCAAGTGCCAAAAGCAAATTTTAAGAGGACTAGTATACTTTTGTTTTCCAAGAATCCTGTTATTGACCAAGTAAGAAGCCTGGGCTAGCCTGCTGGAAGGGAAGAGAAATCTAGTCCTGGAGCCTCAAGTTACCCCAGCAAACAGCCAACCGAATCCCAGAAGCAGAGCCACTTATACCAACCAGATCACTGACATGTGAATAAGCTCCACTAACCCAAAAGATAAGCCATTTGAGCTCAGTCCAATTGGCCCTCACCTCAAAAAATTGGGTGCTCAATAAACATTTGGTTTAACCATTAGTGATTTTTATGGCAGAAATGCTAGTTGATACAACTATAGATAGCAAAAATAAGCAAATTAGTAAATCAGAGAATTTCAGGTAAAGAAGTGACTTGAAAAGGATAAAATAGGCTATTTTGTAGAAAGTGATGAGGATGCTCAATTTGTTGAGGAAGGTCTCTCTGAGAAGGGGACATGTAAGGTGAAACTTGAGTATTAAGGGGAAAAAAACTGCAATGACTATTCAAAGATACAGAAGAAACGTTTCCAAATGAAGGTACAGTCTGGACAAAGACCCTGGGGTAGGAATGGGAATGTCTCAAGAATAGAAAGGACAGTGTGGTTGAAAAATATAAGCCAGGTGGAGAGTAAAGAAAGACATCATCCGGGGAACAGAAGAGACCAGATTGTTAGGGAACTCTGGGCTGGGGTTGGGAGTTTAGATTCTGTTCTGTGGGGGCATGCTGATTTACATTTTGGAGATCACTCTGGCTGGTAGGGGCAGGCTGGAAGTTGAGAACAGCAGGAGTATAGGCAGGAACATTCTCAGGTAGTCACTGAAGTAGCTGGAGCAAAAAAAATCTTGGCAGCTTCTGATTAGGAGTGAAGCCAGGGAAATGGTGAGAAGTAGATTGTGCAGGATTATATATAGTTTGTGTGTGGATCTGTTGGGACGCACTATTTTAAGATAAAGAAAAGATTCGAGCTTGGGTTGGTGGAGAGTAGGACTGTGTCCTGGAATAGGAAAGGCTTGAGTGGGCAGGAGCTAGCATCTATAATTATATTTATGGTATAATCTCTTCCATACACCTGTTGGATTTCAAAGTGCAGGTGCCAAGTAGGTAGTTGGATATGGGAGTCTGGAGCTCAGGCTGCAAACCACAGATGGAGATGTCACTTTGAGAGCAATGAGCTTACAGATGGTGCTGAAAGCCACATGACTGCAGTTAGGGGAGACACTACACACCTGGAGAAAGTTTTGTAGGAAACAAGGAAGAGAGAGTCCTTAGGCTTTTCAAGGTCTTACAGAGAAGAAGAACTTCCAAAAGAAACTGAGTGTGTCTGGCCATTAAGATAGGAAGGAAACCACATAGGCAAGACCCTGAAAGCCTGTAGACAAAATGCTCTCTGGAAAGGGGATGGTTGAGCTACAGGAGCACCTCTGACTGAGTGTAACTCATTGCTTGTGGCAAGATGGAGTCCCTGGAGGTCACAACGGAGGTCGTTGTAGTGGAGGGGTGGGAAGACAGTAGTGAGGGACAAAGATGTGAACTAGACTAAGAGATGAGAGAAGTAGAAGGATTCTTCATGGACTGTATCTGAGTAGGGAAACAGTGGTGGTATAATACTAGAGAGAGGAGATGGGATCAAAGGAGATTTTCTCTAAAACTGGTGGTGTTAAGCTGTATTTGTATGCTTGGCAGAATAACCAAGCAGAAACAGATGATGGAAGGCAGGGCCAGGATCATGCTAAAGAGAAATTGGAAGGTGAGAGAAAATGGGACCCTTGAACATGGGGGAGGGATGGGTCTGCCATGTGGGCAGGGGCACATTCTTCCCAGTCACAGAAGGCAGGCGGCAGAAAATAGGGAGTCCAACGCAGGGAGTTGGGTTGATTGATCAGGAAGAGAGAAAACTTAGGAGATTTGAAGACTGAGGAAAGATATCATCTGGGAAAAAGAAGACAATTTATTAGGACACTATATTAGGATTTGGGAGTCATCTGGCTGCCCATTTGAGACTTGCCCATCATTCATTTTAAGCAAGACCTTTCTACTGGTCGTGGGCATTAGAAGAAGTCGTCAATAAATATTCCATTGAGAACTAAAAGAACATGAGAATGTGAAAGTGAAGAAAATATGTTTCTTTGGTGGGGAAAGAACAGAAATGATAGAATCATCCGATTTTTGATCTCTTGAGCTCCGATTAGAGATGTTATGTAGACATCTACAAATACATAGCTGGAAAACCTGTGAGAAGCTGGCCAGAGGGCAGGTCCAACCTCCTTATGACAAGGAATAAGATAAGAAAGCTAAGTGGCAAAGAAAAGATGACCATAGTGCAGGAAAGTGACCTTCAGGCATGTGCACTTATGTTGAAGTGGGGCTTAAGGGACTCACCTAAGTGCTCTGAGAATCAATCTCCCACTTTTTTTTCCCTCAGAAAAATTGGAAAATACCTCATTTCATAGATTTCTTAAAAGCCATTATATACTTTCTTTTAATTTTTTAAGTTGTCAATGGATCTCTACTTTATGTATTTATTTATACGTGGTGCTGAGAATCGAACCCAGCGCCTCACACCTGCCAGGCAAGCGCTTTACCACTGAGCCACAGCCACAGCCCCCATTGTATCTTAAAAATCTAAGAGTCTGGGCTGGGGATGTGGCTCAAGCGGTAGCACACTCGCCTGGCATGTGCAGGGCACTGGGTTCGATCCTCAGCACCACATAAAAATAAAGGCATTGTATTGTGTCCATTTATACCAAGAAATAAATGTTTGAAAATAAATAAATAAATAAACTAAAGAGTCTCAATTTTAAAAATAAAGTAATAGTATAGTATAGACCCTTGCTTAACCCTCCCTTCTCCAAAAAATATCCAAAACTTCCAAATTCAGGATATTATTCTGCTTCATGAAATGAAAGAGAAAATGTGGGTGCATTATAACCTAATTCAATAATTCTAAAGAGTCAACTAAGACACTCTTTAAAAATAAAATAATAGACTTTTTTTAAGAGAGATCGAGGAAGGCTAGCAGAGGGGGAGAGTCAATAGCCTCTAATTTACAGAGGGCCTGCTGTGAGCCAGGCCCAGGGGCTGGAGCCCTAGCCTGGACAGCTGGAGAAAGTAGCAGAGCAGGATGTAAAAAGCACGGACTTTGGAATCACACAGACCTGAGAGTGAACCCAAAGGCCAAAGCTTATTAGTTGTGTGCACCTGCCGGGTTTCTGTTCTCGGGACTAAAAGGCTCAGGGTTGACTCCAGTTGAACTGGGCTAACTGGGCTGCACAAAATAACCACACAAGAGACACAAGTACCTTTTTCTTTGGGGTCGCTGTGACAGCTCCTCTGACCTTAAGGGTCCGCAGGAAGAGAGGGAGTGAGAGCACGCGCTGACCCCTTTTATTGAGGAGAAGCTAGAGAAGGGAAATCGTATGGAAATGGTAGGAGACCCTCAATGTTACACAAAGTTACATATAAGAGGTTGTGAGGGGAAAGCGGGAGGGAAACAAGGGAGAGAACTGAACAACAGCAGAGGAGGTAGAGAGGGAAGATGGGAGGGGAGGGGAGGGGGGATAGTAGGGGATAGGAAAGGTAGCAGAATTCAACAGACACTAATATGCCATTATGTAAAAATGTGGATGTGTAACCGATGTGATTCTGCAATTTGTATTTGGGGTAAAAATGGGAGTTCATAACCCACTTGAATCAAATGTATGAAAAATGATATGTCATGAGCTTTGTAATGTTTTGAACAACCAATAAAAAAAAAAGAGAGAAGCTATTCAAATGAGGCAAGGGGTCAGGTTTCAGGGGGCTGAGTCTATCTTCATGATGTCCACTGTCAGCAGGTGACTGACACCTGGGTAGACCACACCTAAGAGCACAGTAAGAGGAGGGGACACACACAAGGCACTTCCATGGAAGATTCTATCCTAAACAGGGTAAGGGGTTATATTACAAAGGAACAGATGAGCATAGCTTCACCCTGGGGCTGTAGCAAGACACACCCATGCACAAGAGACCGACCCTCGAACCCAAGAAGGGTAGGGAAAACTCTACCACATTTCTGTGACTGAGCGCCTCAGCACCCAGCTGGGGAGTGTGACTCAGTCAAGTGCAAGGTTGGTCTCCCACGTGCACCAGGATGAGTGACTTAACCCCTCAAAGCCTGTATCCCCTGTAAGGTAGACTTAACCGTGACCATGTCTTTGGCTATGTAACAGTTCATTGAGAAACATTTGTGAAGTGTCTAGGCAAGCACCTTTCAATGGCAGGCATTCTAGAAATGTTCATTTAATTCCTTTTCTCTTTATTTACCAGACAGAACATCTATTATCTGGAAAAAAAAATTTTAAAAAGCTGAAAATCAAAGCACATGGAAATCAAGGAAAGCCTAGGTCTGGTGATGTTGCAAAATCAGCCACGAGCTCTCTTCCTAAAAGTCTTGCTTGAGAAAACTCCTGCCCGGTATCCTCACTGACCTACACCTGCACCTCCAGGCTTTTGACATCAGCTCTAGCTTCTGACCAGACACCACAATTACAGAATGTCAGGGCTACACTGAAATCTCCATTTAATGTGCAAAGCCTTTCCCACCACCAAAGTCTTAGCCTATCAGTCCGGCTCCTTCTGGGACCCTTGTTCCCATTATGGTGAGACCCTAATACTGCAGTTACTTTCCTAAAACTTCCCTTGTTCTAATCTTAAAAATGTGCTGACTCCTCAGGCCTGGCTTCTTCCCCTGCACCAGTCCAGACCCTGAGCCCTACTTGGAACCTCAAAGCTATGATTTACCTGCTCTGGGTCCCTCTTAATCTCATGCTGGTCTCTCCTACTGGTATCCCCTTACCTTCACCATCTAGTTTTCACTTTCTTTTTGCTCCACAATTCTCTTTCATGTGGTTACAATCGATTGCAATCTTCCCTGACATTCCATTCTGAAAGCGCTGTCCACCATGGAGGACTGCTTCTATAAAACTGCTACTTTGGGGCTGGGGATGTGGCTCAAGTGGTAGCGCTCTTGCCTGGCATGCGTGCGGCCCAGGTTCGATCCTCAGCACCACATACAAAGATGTTGTGCCCGCCGAAAACTAAAAAATAAATATTAAAAAAAAATTCTTTCTCT